CCTATAACTTTTGTTTGAAATATTTCTGTCTGCCGTTCTTACAAGGGGAGGGTTTGTAACACGGTAAAGGGATCGGAACGAGACTTATATGCGTGGGTAGTACTTGTCTACTAGTAAAACGCGGTAAAAGGATAGAGGCCAATGCGCCTCAGTTTTCGAGAAAAACGGCATCGAAAAAAAACGCGCCGTTAGTGTACCAGTTCGTAAGCATGTTGACCGTCGAGCTGGCGTGGCGAAGCAAGCGCGGCACTGGAGTGCCGAGCTGCCGGCCCGAGTTCGATTCTAGCATGTCGTTTTTTTTTCTTAACCCTGTAAAGTTAAAAATGAATAAAAACATAAAGAAATAATAAATGTGCATTGCCCAAATAAATATTTGCGTAAACTATGTTTGCATGGGAAAAAACTGAAATGTCTATTACAGAAATTATCTATTACAGAAATAATCTATTATTAAATTCTTATATATATTAATAGCCATGGAAATATTTGGAAAAAATATTAAGTCGCTGATTACATAGGAATACTGTCTAAATAAAAAAAAACACATTATATTTCCTATTATTTAATTGTGGACCTAAATATAAACATACAAAAGAATTAGTGGTTACATGGTACCTATGTATAACATTAGATATTTTCTTCATCATCTGTATCGTTACCGTGTTTAGCTCGTACACAACTTTTTGGATGATATTCATCATAAAAACATTTGAAACAGAAGCATATGGCACACTAAGCACATTTTATGAAAGAAATCTCTTTACAGGCGCAGTTTTGCTTTGTTATTTTGACTGGAAAGCAGATATCGTTCAGGTTTGAAAATATTGTTCGTGTTTCTAATAATTTTGCAGCGTACCAAGCATATTTCAACATATTTTCGAAGCAAGGAACGCTCAATTGGTGCTGCACTATAGAATGGATTTTTATAGCATCTTCACGAGATGCTATTTCCCTCTGTTCTCTTAATAAATTTGGAGCATTTTGCAACCTTTTATCAAGTTTTTAACTTGATGATAAAAATAAACGTCGCAAGGTTGACAAAACGGGGTGCATTTACCAGGAATTACTTTGAGGATGCATGTTGCATCTCCATCGTCATTCCCGAAAATTTCATCGTGCAATGAAGCATCAGTTTGTCCCCCCCAAGAATCAATTATTAAAAGAAAATTATTATCTTTAACATACGGTTTCAATGTTGTTTCTAAATAATTCTTATACGACTCTTTAGTAAGTTTACCCGATTTAGAACAAGTCACGACAACGTTCCCAAATTCTGCTGTTAATCTGTTAACCGTTTGTGTTATTATGCGACCAAATTTGTTTGCTGACTCTTGCAGACATATATAGACAAGTGGGAGCAACTTCCCTGATGCAGTTATACTATATTGCGCCGTGTATGAATGCGTAATTTTATTCAAATTGTGTTTCTTTACCAACACTGTCTTCGTTCCTTTAAATTCAAGTGATCTATTGTATGTCGTTTGGTAATTGCACCCTGTTTGGTCAGTATTTATAACAAAATCCAAATCGAACTTAGGAATAATTCGTCTAGTTTGTGTCTGGAATCTTTGTGCTGACTCTACAGTTTCTTCCAGAGTAGCGACGTCCCTTCGGTTAATATATTTGGTAATTTTGCGCTGCCTAATCCTATGTTTCCGCTTAAAAAATTTCACCTACGAATCACTAGCTTCAGAGGAAAACGTGTCGGACTGGAAAGGAGCAGCAGCTACTAATGCCCACTGTTTTAAGGTTCTTGTTGTTACCTGCAAATATTTATAGCATTTACAAATGTATTATGTTATATATACATGTGACATTCCATTTGACAATGCATTTGTCTTTTTTTACCTGCTCGTAACAGCTTCTTGCTTCTTTGAAACGTTCGAAAGTTTCAGAATTGATTGTTTCTAATTTATCCACTCTTGTTCCTTCACTTATCACGTCTTTCTTTCACAGAATCAAGGAATCTTTCCTCTTCAAACGACCTCCACCCATTTTTTGAAGAGTTTTTAAATTTCAATATGGATGTGCTTCAATAAGAGCAACGATTTTTGCTTTGTATTCTAAAGGAATATAATCTTTAGGAACCTGTACAGCATCACTTGGATCGTACGTCTCATCTGTCGTTGGATCGTCTGTGCACTATCAAAACATAAAATATAATTTGTAGCGTCTTGCAGTTTTTACATTATTACAGTGATATCATAATAATATTAAAATGTCTGACAAAATGCATCACAGTAATATTATAGTGATATACTACAGTAATATTACTATAGTGATAATATATCATAGGAATATTGTCATAGTGATATATCACAATAATATTATTGTAATATTGTAAAGTTATAGAATACTCTTACGGAAAAGAACACTCAAATTTAAGTGTACATTTGAGAGTAAATTGGGATAATTAAGTGTAAACACTCAATATTTGAATGTTTCTTTCATAAGAGTTAATTTTATATTAGTTAATCTCATATTAGATTTGAAATGTCATTGTTGAAATGTTATATTTGTTAATCATTTTTACTTCCTGAAGATGTAAGCAATTCAGTTTTCTGTGATGTATTCACATCTTTTAGTTCGGACTTTTCTGCCTTTATTCTAAAATTTTACAACTGCTATATTTTTAAAACTAAATTAAAAACTAAAACTAAAAACATTTTAGAAAAAAATGTTTTAGACAAAAGTTGTATAGTTTCAAGGGGGACATAGAATAACTATATCATTTTGTTTATAGATGATGCCACTTTCGAAATATTCACTGATTATTACTTTTCTTAAATGGAAACCCCATCTTTTTATTATCTTCTTTTTCTATTAATTCAATTAATTTGGACAATTTTTATCTGAAACATTTTTTATTTACCTAATATTTTTTGAAATATTTAAGGAAAACTTGGTAACTTTTTCAATATTTAACTTACGATATTTCGCTAACTATTTGTTGAAAGAAAAAATAGTGGTAGATGTTTTTACTCTATTTATTCTTTTTTGTTTGAAACGTTTCTTAATATCTTTTATATTTTTCGAGATTTCGAGATTTTTGCCTGACTCATTTAAAATGAGATGCCCTATATTATCCCCGAAATATTTTATTTATACTCCAATGCGATGTATAACGTTAAAGTAGCAAGTGACATTAAATGACGTTTCAATGAACGTTTCTAATGTCCATAAGACATAACAAAAACGTCATTTGACATCATCTTGCTACTTGAGATGAGATATATTGCAATACAATATTACAATAATCTTTTAATGTTACGTATAAATGTAATATATTATTCATTATTATTGTAATTTCAACATCAAATATAAACGTAATATATCAGGTGTAGTAAAAAGAAATCCATTATTTTTCCAATTGATGACTTTAGTTGTCTGTATCTCGCATTGTATAAGTCCGATTGGGTTCCACTAGATGGCGTTAGAAAGATGAGATTTCGTACTAAAAAAACTTTTCTGACAGTTTTGTGATTAGTTGACTCAGTTTTATTTGAGCGCGCGTCAAAAATGGACACTAGCAAAGAGAAAATACGCTATATTTTACAGTTTTTTTTCAATAAAGGCGAAAACGCAAGCCAGGCGGCTGAAAATGTGAATAGTGTTTATGGTCCTGATACTTTAACAGCCAATCACGCGCAATTTTGGTTTCGTCGATTCCGTTCCGGTAATTTCGATGTCAAAGATGCACCACGCACTGGAAGGCCAATTGTTGAAAATATCGATAAAATCATGGACATTGTCGAGTCCGACCGTCATGTAAGCACTGTTTCGATTGCCCAAGAGCTAAAGATTGCACAAAAAACCGTTTGGAACCATTTGAATAAGGCTGGATACATAAAGAAGCTCGATGTATGGGTGCCATACGAGTTAACGAAAAAAAACCTCATGGACCGAATTTCCATCTGCGAATCGCTGCTGAATCGCAACAAAATCGATCCATTTCTGAAGCGGTTGGTCACTGGTGATGAAAAGTGGATCACTTACGACAACGTCAAGCGAAAACGGTTGTAGTCGAATCGCGGTGAGCCGGCGGAAACGGTGGCCAAGCCAGGATTGACGGCCAGGAAGGTTTTGCTGTGTTTGGTGGGATTGGCAGGGAATTATCTACTATGAGCTGCTCCCCTACGGCAAAACTCTTAACTCGGAACTATACTGTCAACAATTGGACCGTCTGAAGGAAGCAATCGCCCAGAAGCGGCCAGCTTTGGCCAATAGGAGAGGAATTGTGTTCCATCAGGACAACGCCAGGCCACACACACATCGATAGTGACTCGCCAGAAGCTCCGGGAGCTTGGTTGAGAGGTTCTTATGCATCCACCTTATAGTCCGGACCTGGCACCAAGTGATTACCATCTGTTCCTGTCCATGACGAACAATTTTGCTGGTGAAAAATTCGCTTCAAGAGAGGCTTGTGAAAATCGACTGTCTCAATTTTTTGCCAATAGGGACGAGGGCTTCTATGAGAGAGACATAATGAAATTACCTTCAAAATGGCAACAAGTTATCGAACAAAACGGCGCATATTTAATCTAAATCGGATCATTTTAACTATGGTTAAAATAATTAAAGCCTTCAATTTCATGCAAAAATAATGGATTTCTTTTTACTACACCTGATATTAGTAATATTTCTGTAATATTGTATTATAATATGTAATATTAATGATATATTGCAATCTAACTATGATATTTTTGTAATATTACGTGCTATGTCGGAACGAATGGTCTACTTATATTTTTATAAAAACTAGAATTCGAGTTTCTTCTTTAATTGTTTCATTATAAATAGTTTAATTAAACCATTAGTTATAAAGTTTTATTAAATTATTTCTTTAAACTATGTAAGCAGTTAAATTTTACTTGCATTTTTTTCAAGGATTAGAGAAAGAGGACGAGTAAATCATAACTAATATTTTTATAATAAACCTTAAAATTATTTTATATTAAATTTTACATGTGATATATTTTATGCAAGATTTTTTTTTATAGGATAACACTGCAGAGTACATTTTTTACAAACGACCTAACGTACTAGGACCTAAATTATGTAATTACAATAAAATAGCATTAAATTCAGATATTTCTAAGTTGCTTATGAATATTTTATCAGAATCTATGGGTGTAGTAGGAGTTGTTAAGAAAATCAGGCAGTTATTTATTGTTGGACAAACTCGAATACATATTGATCAAGTTGATGGTTTAGGCAATTTCATAGAACTTGAGGTTTGTAATTTTTATTTCAAAAGTTTTATTAAAAAGTTCTATTGGCAAAATTTATAAATTTTAATAATGTTATATGTATTAATTTCCCAGGTAATGTTGCAAGAAAATCAAGATATTGAAACTGGACAAAAAATCGCCGATGAGCTTATGCAAGCACTCTCTATAACAAAAGATGATTTAATCGCCGAGGCCTACATAGATTTGCTTAACAAAACAAATGTATAAATAGAATATTTGTACTTTCTACTCAAAAAATGGAATTGTATATTTAAATGATGTGCGTTTATGACATTTCAAAATCCTTTTGTGGTTAAGTTAGTACCACATTACTTAACTTCCATACAGAATTAGAGCGCGATATATCAATTAGTTTGTTCGTGGCAGCTATTTATATCAGTCGACTTCAAGTACCATCTGCAATTTTTATGATGCCAAATATTATGGAGTAAAGAGTTTGCCTTAAATTTTGTGTTTTCAATGAAACTTGTGCTGGCGCGCTGAAAATGCTGCAAAAAGCATATGAGGATAACTGTATTCAAAAACATAAATAGTATACCAGGTGTGTCGGTAATTCCTTTCCAGTTTTTTCGCTAAAGAAAACACGTTATTTACAATGGATAGTTAAAATATATTTATTCAAAGTATTGGCCATTTGATTCTATACATTTTGCCCATCTCTCAGGCAATTTATGGATGCCATTCCAAAAGAACTGTTTCTCCTTTGAGCTAAACCATTCATCGAGCCATTTTTTAACTTCTTCGAAATCGGCGAAGTACTGCTCTGCAAGCGCGTGCCCCATCGATGCGAAAAGGTGATAGTTGGATGGAGCCAGGTCTGGAGAGTACGGCGGGTGCGATAAAACTTCCCATCCAAGTGATTTCAACACTTCTTTGACTGGTTTTGCTGTATGAGACGGCGCGTTGTCATGCTGCAAAATCACCTTATCATGTCTTTGAGCGTATTGTGGACGTTTTTCGATCAATGCGCAGTTCAAATTGATCATTTGTTGTTGGTAGCGATCAGTATTAACTGTTTCTCCAGGTTTCAACAGTTCATAATATACGACACCAACCTGGTCCCACCAGACACAGAGCATGGTCTTGCGACCAAAGCGATTTGGCCTTGCAGTCGATGGGCCGCCTTCGCCAGGTGATAACCATGATTTTTTTCGCTTGGGATTTTCGAAATAAATCCATTTTTCATCACCCGTTACTATTCGATGCAGAAATGACTTCCTTTCATACCTTTGAAGCAGCATTTCACTGACGATTTTTCGATTTTCCAATTGCCTGTCATTCAATTCATGTGGCACCCATCTTCCCATCTTTTGGATCTTTCCCATCGCTTGTAATCGTTCACAAATTGCTACTCGGCTCACATTCAACTTTTCTGCCAATTGTTTTTGAGTTTGTGTTGGGTCTTCATCCAATAACTCCTGCAATTCCGCATCTTCAAACGTTTTCGGCCTACCAGGACGTTTTTTGTCTTGAACGTTGAAATCACCACATTTGAATTGTCGAAACCACATTTCACATGTTCATATGGTTGGAGCATGCTCACCGTAAGTCTCTACCAGCAAACGATGACTTTCAGCGGCTTTTTTCTTTTGATTAAACAAGAATGCGTGCCGCAAATGCACGTTTTCAGGCACAAAACTCGACATTTTCAAAAAATTATTAATCTATAACGCTGTTATTTTGGCGGAACGTAACTTGTGTAGTTTTGAGGTTAATGTCAGTAGAATAAAATGACATATGCATCAAATCATAACATTGCATACTTATGGCTAGTGACATCTGTTACAAAAACCGGAAAGTAATTACCGACATACCTGGTACACAGTATTCGAAACGAAAACTGCTCTCAGTCCATATGATAAGCGATATATTGTGTCTGACTCGATAAATATATTACCATAGGGATATTATAGTATACCATTATAATGTTTATTTGTATTATTAGCTATTTTACAATTAAGTATATCATCAAATGTTTTAATAAAACTGTATTCATTTTTTTTACAATACATTATCCTTTTGTATCCATGAATTATACGAATTGTCGAATCCCAACCATTTTACATATATCTTGTCACCTTGCCTGCGCAACACCTTTTCTACTAATTATATATCTGGATTAGCGACACTATGTATTGGGTGAGTGCAAAAGTTCGTGCGGAGTTTCAATAGATGGAGTTATAAGCGTCGTAAAGTGTTGTCATTAATACTTCCATCTACATATTATATAACGTTGGAAAGGTGACGTCTTCAGCTGTTATTAAAAAAAAATCATTTGTTTTCATACAAACTGCTTCGAGAAATATCGCTTTAAAAATGAGTATCGATAAGGTGCATTTACGGTATGTTATGCTTTACGAGTTTCGGAAGGGAATAAACGTTGCCGCAGCCGTAAAAAACATTCAGGATGTTTATCAGGATGAAGCACCAGCTAAACGAACTGTGGAAAAATGGTTTGCTAAATTTCGGCGCGGAGAATTTAACCTTGAAGACGAGCCACGCTCTGGTCGACCTTCTGACATTGATGACGATGTTTTGCGTACTTTAGTGCTCAATAATCCGCGAATTTCAACAGAAGAAGTTGCTACAGCACTAAACGTTGACCGATCAACCGCTTTTCGGCGTTTAAAAAAGATGGGATTCGATTTGAAGCTCGATATATGGGTGCCCCATTTGCTGACCGAGAAGAACAAAATCAAGCGAATTTCTGCAGCCGTTTCTTTACTCGGGCGGCTCAATAACGAGTCGTTTTTGGATCGACTAGTGACGGGCGATGAGAAATGGGTCCTCTACAACAATGTTCAGCTCAAACGGACATGGAAACAATCAGGTGAGCATGGTGACGCAATGCCAAAGGCCAGTTTGCACCCGATGAAGGTGATGCTCTCTGTTTGGTGGGATTGCAAGGGCATAATCTATTTCGAGCTTCTCCCCGCTGGCGAAACGATTGATTCGGACAAGTACTGTTGCCAATTAACCAATCTGAATCGAGAAATAAAAGAGAAACATCCGATTTTGTCAAATCGCAAGGGAGTCGTCTTTCATCACGACAACACGAGACCACACGTTTCGAAAAAGACGCTGCGCAAACTGAAGAGCCTGAAATGGGATGTCTTAACGCATCCACCGTATTCTCCTGATATCGCACCATCTGACTATCACTTGTTCCGGTCATTGCAAAATTATTTAAATGGAAAAAACTTTGACTCTTTGGAGGCCTTAAAAAACGGCGTCTCTTCGTTCTTCGAATCTAAACCGCGCAGTTTTTATGATCGAGGCATCCGTATGCTGCCAGAACGTTGGGAAAAGATTATAGAAAACGATGGAGAATATATCATTGATTGAATAAATATTTTTGTTTGCCTAATCACTGTGTGACTTTTACTCACAAACTCCGCACGAACTTTTGCACTCACCCAATAGTTCGTGTTCGTAGAATCCTCCAGTGATAGGTCTTCCGCGCGAGTCTGCGAGTAAGTAAGTTACAGGATTAGTTGTCTGCACTTTGACGATTTTAAACACTTCGGTTGTCCAATTCGGTGTATAGCCTTTTTCAAAGATAATTTTGAATTTGCTGACACGTACCAGATCACCCACTTTGAATTTCGCAGGCGCTGTGATCTTTATGTTACTGTAGACTGTGTTTAAAAGCTTCTTAGTAATCGCAGGAGTTACATTGATAGGATGTATGCCGATAGTTCGATGTTTTTGCGTGTTGTATTCAACGACGAGGCGCGGTAACGAGTCGATCCATTTGTAAGTTCCGTTAAACGTAAATATTTTCCACATGTCGTTCTTTAACATGCGGTTGAATCGTTCCACAACAGATGCCTTCATTACTGAATAAGTCTAATAATGATTGACACCGTGTTTCTTCACAAGACTCTGCAACTCTGTATTGTAAAACTCCTTTCCCTGATCAGTTTGCAAGTTCTTCGGACATCTTCCATTCTCTTGAATTATCTTTGCGAATGCCTTAGCTACCTCCTTTCCGCTTTTGCTCTTTAACGGCACAGCCCATGCGTACTTGCTCAGTATATCGATAATGGTGAGTGTATGTAGTGGTAGCCTCCATTGAATCGCAAGTAAGGACGCATTTCCATCACATCAGCCTGCCAAAAATCATTGTATCTATGCACTATGACGCGTCTACGAGGAAAATTTCGTCTCTCTGGAGCGTGTAATTCTTTCACTATTTGTTGTTTTTCGGAATGTTTCTGCTCATCATTTTTCTTCGTTACTCACCGAGTCGTTTACCCATTATGCGTGAGGCTTTGTCGCTTTACACCAACAGAAACAGCTAAAATAGTATCGATGAGTTGCTTCCCTGAACTTTTCTTCTTTTTGTTAAATTTTGACGATTGTTTCACCATTGCAACTCATGATGATCCGTCTCCTGCTTATGTCGATACTATATGTCAATTTAACTGTAATATTCTACTTTTATATTTTCCGCGATTTCCTTATCTCTAAACCTGTCCAGTCTAAAATTCGTTCTATGTTCTCATGAATGCTGTTTATGCTCTGTATGTTTTTGTTCCAGTAGTCTTCCAGCCATTCCTTCAATTTTTTAACATTCTCATCAGCATATTGCTTCGTCTCAACGTTACTTTCATGCAGTAGAAGCTTCACAGAATTTATATTCTCATCTATATACTGCTTCTTCTCAACGTTACTCTCATGCAGTAGAAGTTTTATAGATTTTATATTCTCATCCACATAATTTTTGTGCGCAACCTCATTGAAGGCTTTCGGCCACGGTACATGATGTATCGCGTGCAGTGTTGCATCAAAACCTTGTCGTGGAGGGAATGTAGACGTAGTTCCTCTGACTCTTCCCACTTCGGTCCGAGCGGTAGGCACCCCGCAGGGGTTTTAGTCGGTAGGAGTCCGGCATAACCCCCGACCCCCCCAAAGGGTCGGGGGTATCCATGATGAATTTCCCCTGCGTGACCAAAAAGAAGTGTTGCGTTAAAATCTTTATCATCGGCGGTTAGACAAAGGGCATTTTCATGTACACATCGTTTGGTTGCAACGTTGTTCAAATGATTTCTCACACCTGCAACACATTCTTCCACGTATCGTTTGGTTGCAACGTCACTGTCGGCTTCAGGTTGCGCTACAGATTTTATCTTGCGCGACTTTGTATCGAAAACTGGCAGCGTTTAAACAAAGAGCATTTTCATGTATGGAATTTTCAACGTGTTCATTCCATTGATGCGCTCGATCAGTTTTCGCACCATTGCTCTCTCGCGACA